TCTGTTCCCCTTCCCCCAATTCCCCAACAAAAAAATAAAAAAACCTTAAAAAAAATAAAGCTCATATTAAATATGATTCTACTAATATTTGAATACATCACTCTATTCTATTTCATTTTTTGTAATGCTGGTCACAATCCATTCATTTCACAAACACAGATTATAACAATTTAAAAACACTGTTTAAAAAAACACTGATCTAGGGGCCGGCCAAGTGGCACGTTGCTTAAGAGCTGGCCAGCTCTGAGCAGCAGGCCCAGGGTTCGGATCCCACATATGAGGGCCAGTGACACTGCCCTCTACAGCTAAGATGGTGAACAACAGCTCAACCTGGAGCGGGCTGCCGTTGAGTCGCCGGCGACAGTGTAGGCTGCAGTGGGTCTGCAGTGGGCTGCCGTAAGCTACTGTGAGTGGCCAGTGGCCAGCGGCCAGCAGCCAGCAGCCAGCGTGAGTGGCCAGCAGCAGGTGAAAGCTGCCATGAGCGGCCATCCAATGGCCAGCAACTGATCTGCCTCAGCCGGGAAGAGCGCAACAATCATAATACCAACATGGGTCAGTGAAGCAACGTCCTCCACAACTAGACTGAAGAACAAAAGGACAGCAACTTGTCTGCTCCCCTTCCCTGATTCCCCAACGCTGTTCCCCTCCCCAATTCCCTAATAAAATCTTAAAAAAAAAACCAAAACACTGATCCAAATGGGAGCTTAAAAAATTTGAGGGGATTAAGGGAGTGATATTGCTACCCCACACCAAGGAAGGTAAGGCTGAGATTTTAAGTAGTACTTGCTTAGGGGCAGATGATGATGATAATGATGAAGATGACGATTTTCACTAATGTAACTTTAATGCAACCTACCTGTCGTAACTGAGATTCATCTCGAAGCTGCCTTCTGGCTTCATTGTACATTTCATCTAGCTCCTGCCGAGAATGCTTATATGTTTGAAGCTCAGCATCCACATCCACTTTGGTAACCTAGGAAGAAAACATAAAACTTATTAGTCTGTAATATCTACTATTAATACAGCACAGAAATACCCAGTCTACGCAAGAGTCCCAAAAAGTAACAATTTCTGATACAAGCCTGTCTGTTTGTAATCAGTGTATACTTACCTCTAGGTGCTGCTGTGTTTTCATTAAAATCAATTTATTTTCATTTCGTAATTGATGATTTTCTTCTTGGAGTTTAATGATATTATTCTTTGCTATTGCTAACTAAAAATTATGAAACGGGAAAGAAAAAAGATTTTAAACATTCATGGCAATAAACAATAGAAAATAAAATCCTAAAACTAGTAAAATCTCTCACATCTACAGACTTTCATAAGAAAAATGTGTTCCTGTTATCCCAAGATACCAACTAAAGAAACTATACTGATTTCTACTACTTCTTTTTGTTAGTTGAAACATGCTTATCTGATTTACAATATGTCCTGAATACAAAGTGCCTGAGTAAACATATAAACAACTGTGTATTAAACAATAAGACTGTAAAGACTTGTGTAAAGATAGGAAAAAAGGTTGTGCTATCAATGAAAATGTAATAGAGACATTCATGATAACCAAACAGGACACCCTGTGAAGCCTGGACACACTGAGTGACCATCACAAACATGAGACAGCTCCCATCATCAGTGTTAAACATGAATGACTAGACGACTTGGCTCTGAGGCCCAGAATTGAAAAGAAGTATCCTAGGAAAGGAAAGCTGGGACCACTGCCCAATGTTGGTTGCAAATAAATTTCTGAACACTGCCGAGAATACAACTTGAACTTCACAGTGTGCCTAAGGCCAAGAAGAGGCACAAACCAATGAGCAGCTCTCTCTAATGGTCCCAATCTATCAAACTATCAACGATCCCAAACTGTCAAAATGAAGATGTAGTCATGCAAACAATCATGTGTTCCCTGGTTTTAAAAAGTTAGGAAATAAGGATTTTTAAAGAAATAAAAATTTTAATCAACATGAAAAATAGGCTTCATTGCACTAATAAATTTCATCCTCTACCTTAAGTAATTCTGAAAATAGAAAGCAATAACTCTGTGGTTTGACAGATTTAAAAAAAAAAAATTATCTAAAAAGCAACTTTACAAATAATATTAAAAATAGGGCTGAAGGGCTGGCCGAATGGCTTAGTTGGTTAAGAGTTGGCTTGGGAGCGTGAGCTCTGAGCAGCCAGGCTGCCAGTTTGGATCCCACATGAGGGCCAGTGACGCTGCGCCCTTTACAGCTAAGATGGTGAACAACAGCTCAACCTGGAGTTGGGCTGCCGTGAGTCACCGGCTATGGCATAGGCTGCAGTGGGGCTGCAGTGGGCTGCCGTAAGCTGCCGTGAGTGGCCGGCAGCCCCACGTGAGAGGCTGGCAGACAGCGTGAGCTCCCGTGAGCCGCCGTGAGCGGCCGTCCAATGGCCGGCGAGCAACTGCCTCACTCAGGAAGAGCGCAATGATAATACCAACATGGGCCAGTGAAGCGACATCCTCCACAACTAGACAGAAGAACAAAAGGACAGCAACTTGTCTGTTCCCCTTCCCTGATTCCCCAATATAATCTTTAAAATAAAAGAAAAGAAAAGCAATCTGAATAGTGGGAAAAGAGGGACAGATTATTTTAACAGAATTTCTAACTACAGGTGACTCCACTCTCTAAATACAGATCATCTAGATATAAAAATGAGAATCATTATAGAAGAGTTTGTATGAGTTTCATCTTTAGGCTCATTTCTAGAAGATGAATAATTTGAAACAATTCAAATTCACCTGAGAATGTACCTGAGAATATGTGGTTTCTCTTGAACTTCTCAATTACAACTATATTACAAGTATTCCATCATAATGATGAAAATGTGTGTATGTATGAGTATGCTAAATGCATTAATAATGAAAATGAAAAAGGATCACAAATACTAAGTCAGTGAAAGACAATTATCCATGGCTGGGTGACAATACCTCTTCAATCAGCTTAGTATTTGACTTTTCTAATGAGTCAACTCTTGAATGGAGACTGCTGACTGTGCTGCTGAAATTAATAAAGAAAAAACTCATTCAAAATTACACAAATTCACAAAGGCAAGAAAAAGAATATGTTATCCTGGACTTATTATGTTGACTGACATGCACCAACTGCCCTGTCTGAATTTTTGAGTGTGGGAAATTTCATTAAGTTGAATAACTTGATTTGGATAGGAGAGCATTAAAGACTGTAACAAAAGAATTAATATTTCTATTAAAATTTCATTTAATGCGGCTCATTTTTTGTTGTCCTCTTAGGGTCCTTCTTACATTTAACTTACAATATTTGGAAATAGAAATTCCACAGAAAAGTTACTAAATAATGTCAAAACTAAACTTCAAATTATGTTTTAAAGGATGAGCTTTAAATGTCCACTTTATAATTACGTGGTTTAATGAAGCTTATAAACAGTGTTCTTCAACAGAAGCCCCATTCTGTTACCCCTCTCCACTTCCATACCTTAAAGACCTTCAAAGTCACCCATGTTTGAGAAATGTGAATATGAGATACCCAGCATGAGGTACCCAGTCAGCTTGCAGCTAAGCAAACAACCCATCTTTCAATGATATAGTCAAAAGTCTGGTTAAACCACATAAGCACACTTGTTTCTTGCATTTTTGTTTAAAATGTACATTATTGTACATTTTATAGAGTCTGATTTTCAAGGCCTGCTTCATTTTACCATCTCAAACTTTCTCTAATAAAATATAATATGCTGTATACATTACAGTAAAATCCATAATAGATTCAACAAATTTTACACCAGCCTCAGAAACAACTACTGACATTTCAGTTTAACTGGTGAAACAAGAAAAATATTGTTCCATTCATAGTAAATCACTTTTAAATATATTTATTCTTAGGTAAACAGCTTGAATTTTTCAGAAATAGCTCCACAGTATACTGATGACGAGATATAATAAGTAAGTACAGGACTAGGAGATAGAAGACCAAGGTTATGGTCCCTGCTTTTCTACTTTTTAACCTTGAAAGCTGTAAAACCTTTCTGAGCTTCAGTTTCCTTATGTATAAAATCAGACAATAATATTTGCCCTACCTTTATGTAAGAATCAAGAAAATAATAATCAAAACAGCACTTTTGAAAATAAACTCTCAATAGTGGTTTTTTTTCTGAGTGAGGGAGAGATAATAGGTAAGTTCTATTTTTTCTATATCTGTGTTCTATACTTTCAAAATATTCTAAATGTACAATAACTATTTTCTAATTTAAAAAACAATGAAACATTTTTATAAAATGTAGAAAACTAAGGTACTAGTATTGCTATAAGTGATTAACACACAAAACTTAAAAGGGAATGAGAAAGCTATTTTGAATAGAATAGACTCTAAGATAAACTGTTGAATAAAAACAGTAAAGTACAGAATAGTGTAAAAAGTATGCTACCTTATGTGTAAAGAACTGGGGAAAGTGAGAAATATAAGAAAATATATGCATATTCTTGCTTATTTGCATAAAGTATCTGTGGAGGCATACATCAGAACCTAGTATATCAATTCCGCTCCAAGAGGAAAACCAGATGGTTGGAGATCAGGGAAGAGGGAGGTTTTTCACTTAATGTTCGTTTTGAAGTTCCAATCATGGGAATATTTTACTGCTCCCAAAAAGTGAATAAAAGTTTAAAAGTAAATAAATGGGCATACAAGGTTGCACTTAGCAGATATCATAGGATATATATGTGTGTTTTGTAATTTATATTTCTGAGATTGTATTTCTATTAAAACTTCATGATTTAAAAAAAAAGACACTGATACAAGATCTTTCCTATGTCTCCAACTTCAGAAGGAAAGCCAGTTACTTATTAGTTTGTTTTTCTAAAATGGGAAAATGTTTAATTGTATTTTGACTGTTACATACATGTTTATTGAGTGAAATTCAGAAAATACAGAAGAGTACAAAGAATAAAAATTATTCATAAGCCCATTGCCCGGAGATACTCATTTTTAATAATCATTTTAATAAGAACAGTCCATCTCTAACTATGTGGCAAATATTACTCACTATATCTGTGTTATATAGTATGTATGGTAGCCATAAGCTACATGTCACCACTAATAAGGGCTTACAATGTGACTAATCCAAACTGAAATGTGCTATCAGTATAAAATACACATTGGATTCTAAAGATAATACCAAAAACTTAAAATAAAATATCTCATTAATAATTTTATATCAATTACATGTTGAAATGATAATATTTTGGGTATACTGGGTTAAATAAAATGTATTTTTAATTAATTTCATCTTTTTCTTTACCTTTTTAAATGTGGTTTAATAGAAATTTTAAATTATCTATGTGGTTCACGTTTTACTTCTATTAGAACTGCACTATACTATTTTATAAACAGATCTCAGAAATTCTTCCCAGAGTATTTACTAACAGCTCCCATGACCAGGTGACACTGTAAGGAGAAAACTTCCACCATGGAAGATGACAGCCACATTTACACATGAAGCCCTTTGAAGTAAGAAAAATGAATTTTTGAACCATTAAATGATATAAACTTCCACCCTATCTAGTCTTTTTTCTCAAGGGCACAGGAATAAGTTTAAAATTCTATTTTTAAATTATCTGAAGATTCTATTTAAAAATCTGACTCTCATTTTCTATTAAAAATGAATTATCTCCAATAATTCTCTGTATTCTTAATCTCCACTTTCTCTATCCCCTCGACCCCTCCTAAAAAATGTATAAAAGGAACAGAGTTAAGCTGACCTGAAGAGGGAAACCCTAAGACAACAGTCATAAATGCATTAAGTATTCAACTATCCATAACACTTACTTCAGTTGTCTATTTAACTCTTCAACATAATTCTTCTGGTCTAATATGGCAGCAATTTGAACATTCCTAGAGGGGAGAAAAGTAGTTTTGTGCTAGTTAAAAAGGTATTTATTGGGTGCCAGAAATAATGTCTAAATCATCTAAAATTGTTATAAAAACATGATGGTAAAACAATATTATCTTGCCTTTAAAATAAAATACAAGAATATAATCATGTAGGGGGGTAACCGGTTAGCTCAGTTGGTTAGAACATCATGCTGATAAAACCAAGGTTGCCGGTTTGATCCCCACATGGGCCACTGTGAGCTGCACCCTCCCTAAAAGAGTCAACTATGCCATTGTAGCATGAAAATGTGTAACCAATGACTATGGCTGTTCCCCAATAAAAATTAAAAAAATATATATATATATGTATATATATATGGCCGGCCGAGTGGCATGTTGGTTAAGAGCTACCTTGGGACACCAGCTCTGAGCAGCAGGGCCCCGGTTTGGATCCCACATGGGGGCCAGTGACACTGCCCTCTACAGCTAAGATGGTGAACAACAGCTCAACCTGGAACTGGGCTGCCGTGAGTTGCCGGTGATGGCGTAGGCTGCAGCCCCTGCTGCAGTGGGCTGCCATAAGCTACAGTGAGTGGCTGGCAGCCAGCGTGAGCAGCTGGCAGCCAGTGTAAGCTGCCAAGAGCCACTGTGAGTGGCCGTCCAGAGGCCGGCGACCAATCTGCCTCACTTGGGAAGAGTGCAATGATAATACCAACATGGGCCAGTGAAGCAACGTCCTCCACAACTAGACTGAAGAACAAAAGGACAGCAACTTGTCTGTTCCCCTTCCCCTGATTCCCCAACGCTGTTCCCCTCCCCGAATTCCCCAATATCTTAAAAAATATATATATATGTATATATATATAAAATCATGTAGAAGTAACCTGTGTACTGAATAACTATAACCTTTATTAAGCAAATTACTTGCTAATATCAGACTTACTAGTATCATTAGTATATTTAAATTTTTTTGGAACAGTATGATTTTTTTTATTGATTTATGACATTATATTTTTATTGGTTCATATTTGACATATAACATTGTGTAAATTTAAGGCATACAACATGTTGACACATTTATATATTGTGACATGACTGCCATTCTAATGATAATTAGCACCTGTATCACATTACATAATCCTTTCTTTTTAGTAGTTGGAATAAGTATATTTTAAATTCAAACACAATTAGATCTTGAAATAAGCCATCATATGTAAGCTTGTGAATAATAAGTTTTCATCCCTTTTATGACAAAACACAGCTAACTATTAAAATGGGTCTCAGGGGGCCTACTGAGTGGCTCAGTTGTTTAAAGAGTGCGAGCTCTGAGCAACAGGGTCACCAGTTCAATTTCCACATGGGCCAGTGAGCTGCACCCAAGCTGAGCTGCCCACAGGTGGCAGGATGGCTCAGCTGGTGAGGGCACGTGCTCTTAACAACAAGGTTGCCAGTGCAACTCCCGCATGGGATGGTGGACTACGCCCACCCACAACTAAAATTGAACACGGCACCTTGAGATGAGAGGCCACGAGCTGCTGACAGGCGGCCTGATGGAGACTGGGCTTGGAGCTGAGCTACCTGCACCCTCCACAACTAAGACTGGAGAAGAACAACTTGACTGTTCCCCTTCCCCAATTCCCCAACACTGTTCTGCTCTCCCAATTCCCCAATAAAATCTTTTAAAATAAATAAATAAAGTAAAATGGGTCTCAGGAACTGCAGAAACGACCCAAGTCATACTTCATATGAAAGACTCCTTCTTCTAAGTGGTCTTTTGCTTTGTAAAACTGGTAAATGGATGTGAAAACTAAAGAAAGCAGGAACTAATAAATAAATGAAATAAAAACCACTCTATAAATATGTTATTTTTTTTTGTTTTTTTTTTATAAGCTGAGCCATCCTGCCACCTGTTGGCAGCTCAGCGGCTGCTCAGCTTGGGCTGGGAATCGAACCGCTGTTGCTCAGAGCTCAAACTCTTGAGTGAGCTCTTAACCAACTGAGCCACTCGGCCGGCCCTAAAACCACTCTATAAATAGATGAACCTCATACTGATTTGTAAAGAGCTACAGAAAAATAAACATGTGAAATAACTTATGAAAATCATACCTTTCTTTATTTCCAACATCTTCTTCATTCTTTAAATACATGGAAAAATCAATCACTCCAACCTGAATTAAATAAAGTTATTCTTATTTAAAGATGAGAAATATCAGAAGTACCTTTAATATGCAACTCAATTTCATTCTTAATTTTTCTTTACTGTTAGCAGCAATGTTTACAACTTAGAGTAATATCTAGATCAAAGAGGAACAGTACAAACTGAAAACACTCTGCATTTAGTACATCACTTTTACTTACTTGTGAGTCTAAATCTTCTCCCTTGACACACAGATTAGCATCTATCACATTCAGACCAACCAGCAGCCCAACAATTACTGCTCCTTCTTCTTCCATCATTAGTGCATGATACTCATAGAATTCACTGTAAAAATTAAAATAAAAAACTTAAATCACAAATTTATTTCAAAAGCTAAAATTTAAAATCTTAGTGCCTTATTATAAAGATGGAACCAATATAAGTCATGTATCTTCAAATTAGCCTTCCTATATGTGAATAACTTAAAATTTTTGAAATTTAAATATCTTTACAGAAAACATAAAAGAAAGGGACTGAAGGAGACAAAAGAGGAAAAGGAATTTTGATGAGAGAAAACAGAACCAAAGAAAGATCAAAAGAAACAGGCATCACTGAGGTCTGGAATGTTTGTAACTCTCAGAAGACACACTGACTGTTGGTGATCCAATTACAATGCTTTTTATTAGAGTTGACTTTTCAGTTCTCAGATTTAGTAAGACCCTTGGGATAAAAACTTAGTGGGAAAATGAACATATGAAACATTTCAAAACCCAGGTTCAAGTCAGTTGCATTTGATATGTGCATTGCAAGTGCTCTTAATAACCATCAATAAAATTACCTATGGCTATCTATATTAAAAAAGATTTCAAATAAGAGCCCTCTCAAAGAAATTGGACAGTTTAAAAACTAATACTTGAGGGCCAGCCGAGTGGCACGTTGGTTAAGAGCTGGCTTGGGACACCAAAGGGCCCCGGTTCGGATCCCAGTGACACTGCCCTCTACAGCTAAGATGCTGAACAGCAGCTCAACCTGGAGCTGGGCTGCTTTGAGTTGCCCCAGAGGGAGTAGGCTGCAGCCACTGCGGCAGTGGGTTGCCATGGGCTACCGTGTGTGGCCGGCAGCCAGCATGAGCGGCCAGCAGCCTGCCCTGAGCTGCTGTCCAGAAGCCAGCGACTGATCTGCCTCGCCCAGGAAGAGCGCAACGATGGTGCCAATTTGGGCCAGTGAAGCAATGTCCTCCACAACTAGACTGAAGAACAAAAGGACAGTAACTTGTCTGTTCCCCTTCCCTCAATTCCCAGCGCTATTCCTATCCCCCAATTCCCCAATAAAATCTTTAAAAAAAAAAAGAAATATAACATAAATTTCCCCATATCAGCTGACAAAAAGCTTATGGTATTTATTTTTCAGGCTAGTTCCTGATCCATGTTATGCCCCCACCATGATTTTCTCACTCATTTTGCTCTTCCTTTTATTTTATGCCATCTTATTGTATTTTATGAATCCTTTTGTACTACATCTTCAATTCTTTTTGGAAGACAGGATATAAATGAAATAAAAAATGAAAATGAACATGATTTAATGGTACTAACCTCAAGAGTTCCCTCTGAATAATTAAGCAACGAAGGTAATCAGCCATTTTTTTTTGCATGAGGGCTAATCGAAGCCATGCTCTTGCACGACCCAGGGGTGTCCTAAGAAGCAAAACCAACTGTTAAGAAAACAGCCCCGGCCCATAAATGATAGGCTATACGTTCTATATCTGTTGAAGTACACATTAATAGAGAAAAAAGGCAATTTATCATGTTTTTTCTTCGTTTCTGTAGTTTTAAGCTAGCTGTTCTGAGCATGCAAACCAATCCCTGGGAGCTATTTAAGTCTCTAAGGTAAATCTGCACCTAGGTACCATTTTATGACTTGGAAGAAATGACTCTCTAAATAGTGAGGATATTTTTACAAAAAATATTTTATCCAATTGTCATTAAAAAATTAAGTCTCATACCTCTCTTACCCAAGTTCTATCATTTAGTAAAAATAAAAGCAAGTTTTACAGAATATGTATGATTTTTTAAAGAGAAAGATATCATTTACACTTTGACGTTTTCTAAAACAGGGAACATTTTGGCAGGCAGTGTGGGAGGAAACAATCTTCACTTCTAACAGTTAATGAGTTTCTTATGGCTTAGCATTTTAATGAATACCTTTCTTCGGAAAACGTTTTTTTATATTTGTAGAGTTTGGCTTTTTAAAAACTAACAAAATGAAAACAAATTTTATATTTCTCTTTCTGAGAGTTGAAATTCCCTTTTTCCTCTGTTTTTGCTAAAAATCACTACACCTAATCTACCATTTTAAGAAACATCAAGTGTAACATCACTTTCTATATAACTCAAAAAACTGGGTTTGAATCCTGGTTCTGCCACTTATTAACTATAATTTCTCTGACCCCTATTTTTCACAGCTATACAATTATTATAATAACCTCTACCCTATAAGGCTGATTTAAGCACTATGAGATAATTCAAGTAAAACAATTATCTTATTACCCTGATACAGTGCTCAATAAATAGTAGCCATTTCCTTTTATAACTCAACTAAATACAACTTACAAACATCTGGGTGTTGTGATAGTGGCCAGAAAACACTACCAACATACAAACCCTATATTGTAAAGCTGTTTAAGAGAAACAAACTGATGATCTGATAGAAAATGCTAAGCATAAAAATGTTATCTCATTCACAAGAATTAAGATAAACTAAAGGGAGCTCTTCTCACATCTTAATCATACCCTGAAGTGCATAAGCCCTTAGCCTTAACAACACTTTATACCCACTTTATCTCTGCAAAAAATTTTCAACACTCATGAGTTATTAGCTAGAATACTCAGCTATTAGGACATTTCATATACATTTGTCTAGTGAAACAGACAGGTGACACTACAAGTCCCAATTCTCAAAGTAATTGTAATTTGCACAAGTAAATTTAAAATTTGCACAAGTAAAAAGTAATTTGCCCAAGTCCTATGTATATTAATGGCTTACCTGAGAACTCAAATCTCCTAAGCCTTTGCCTGGATTTAGCTTAAATCAGTCTCCAACAAATTGTTATTACTACAAACCAGCTTAACACTCAGGAAACAGAAATGCAAAATTGATACATCTTACCTTAAAGGGACTTGCAATTTCCTGCAATACAATTCAGAATTGAAGTGATATAATAAAGGAATGAATATAGTGATAAGTGTATAAAAGAAAAAGCAGTTAATTCTTACTGAAGGGCCAAGAAAAACTTCACAAAGGAAATGAAGTTTGAGCTGATCCATAAAGAATGAACGGAATTTTATTAGGACAGAATGGAAGAAGGCTACGTAAGCCTGAGAGTAGATAATAAACTACAGTTGAGGTACTCTTAAGGAACAGTAAATAGACTTCTGTGGTTAGGGATGAACAAGTCATAAGATAACTTACTTAAGACCAGGTAAATCCCGGACACTAGCTCCTATTTCCTCTGCTTCTGGGTATAGCTTCTCCACCAGTTCCAAAGGGCCCCAAATAGTTTTGTTGTAACTCAAAAATGATTTTCTTACTGAAAATAGAAAATACAATGCATGTAACTTCAACATACAATATAAAATTTATGTACAATATAAAATTGTTAATACAATATAAAATTGTATTAACTTCCTTTTAAATATTTAGTTTCAACGTTTCTAACAACATACAATTATTCAGAGACCTTTCTTCTTTTATCACTACACAGCCCTGTTGATCAAGAGCCTGTTAACCAGGTTCCTGATATTTTTCCTTATCAGAAATATGATAAGGCCGTGCTTCCATATCAGAAATATGGAAATATGTAATTACAGTAAAAAACTGAGCTCATTCTTTACCAGTACCAAATATAAAAAGGCTGGAGGTCCTAAAAGGTTGAATTTTATGAGTTTATTAAATAAACCATGGACAAATAAAAAGTTGTCTTACTTTTAAACATGAAAAACTGTGACTTTACTTTTCCTTTTATTCTGAGATTTGGGTAATATAAAACCATGAAACCACCATCTATTCCTTCTTAAGACCTATTGGCTCTATAGACTGCAGATCCAGTGTGCCTATCATATACGTAGCCCAAGGACAACCACGAAGATAGGCAATTTTTCCTTGGGGGATAAAATCAACCAGCCCAAAGTAGCTTTATAATGATTCATCAAGATAAGCCTAAGACTGTTAGAGCATGCCTCATGATATTGTGTGAAGGAAAATAAAGTCAGAAGAGTTTAAAATTTAACACTTTTGGCCATCATTTGGCAAATTCCATTTTAGCAGGTTGGGGGGGAAATAAAGATGGATGTTACTGCTATACTTTAAATATAAAAAAGAAAATTTTCAAAAAAGATTGATATTATCAAGAGTAGCCAAATAGGTGGGGAAACAAAACACTCACATTCAAAGTAGTACGATAAATCAGTGAAGCCTTCACTGATGCCAGCTGCCCGTATCCTTTGACCCAGTATTCTATACATAGGGTTCCTAAAGATCCTAGCACTTGTGCACAAACATATATACCCAAAGGTGTTCTTACAGTACAATTTTAATAGTAAAATATCGGAAACAACCTAGGTGTACATTAAAAGGAGAGTAGTTAAAAAGTTATGGTATACATATACTATAAAATATTATACAGCCATTAAAAGTGTGATAAAGACTGTAAATGGAAGGATCTCCAAACTATACCATCAAGTTTTTTTGTTTTTGTTTTGTTTTTGTTTTTAAGGGGGGGTGGAGGAAGGAAGTCACCAAATAACATGTATAGCATGATTCTATTTAGAGTAAAAAAGAAAACAGAAAAGAGCTAGAAGAATGACAAGAATTCCCTTTAGGGAGGAGAATAAAGGAAAACTATGTTTTTGCTCTATGTGCTTCTATGCTGTTTGATTCATGTACAAAAAGAGTTTATTTCTCTATTATTTATGTAATTTTAAAAATTATCTTAAGGTTTTGGGGGGGGGGGAGCGAAAGCAGGTTTACTCAAAATGCTGCCATTCCATTCTATGAGGGTGGTGGATTCCTGTCCAAAATCCATTCTCCCTAAAAATTATCTTAAGGTATTAATTAAAAAGTGGAATATAGAAAAACAAAAACTCAGATACAGAGAAGAGATTGGTGGTTATCAGAGGCAGAAGGTAGAGGCGGATGAAATGGATGGTGTTAAAAGGTACAAACTTCCCATTATAAAATAAATAAATCAGGGAGTGTAATGTACTACATGATGACTATAGTTAATAATACTGTATTATATACAAGAATTACCACAATTAGACCTCCAGTGTCTGTAGAAGTGTATATGATAATTACACATAACAAGTGTATATGGATAACCACATCAATAATGAGAAGTTGCTACATTTTAATAGGAGACCCTTCTGAATAGTCCCTGATGAGTTGCTTTTAGCTGCCAAACTGCCCCACTTCTGGGGCTTCTAATCTTCTCTTCAGTGTATATCAGCGTAAGATGCAAGAGGAAAATAAATATTTGAACTTTTAAATAAATAAATAATACTGCATTGTATTTGAAAGTTGCTAAGAGCAAATCTTGAAAGTTCTCATCACGCGGAAAAAAAACTTGTAACTACGGGGGTGACAAAAAAATGTATACACATAACTTGTATTCACTTTTTGTTATCGGTACATATTAAGTATTGCAATTTTAATACAGGGTTTTCTTTTCTTAAAATGTGCATACATTTTTTTGGCACATTCTGTATGTGTGGTGATGCATGTTAACTAGACTTGTGATCATTTCATAATATATACAAATATCAAATCATTATGTTGTCCACCTGAAATTAATGTTATATGTCAATTATATTTCAATATAAATACGTATTTTTAAAGAAACAAAAAGAACAAGAAATTAGTATGTTAACATCACACAGTGTTTCTCAAATTCTAATACCAAAGCTCCTTTTTAGTTTGACATACACTTATTAAAGCCATATTTAGCTAAATCTCCTCTTTTGCTTTTTACATTTATCCCCACTTTCATGCACCATAGTCAGAATTTCTAGACCCTCCCAACCTACCCAGGCCCCTAGTATACCAACAAGAAATCAAACTTCTTTTGCTTTGTAAATCACCTTAGTGTCTAACTCTTTTTTTTTTTTTTAATTGGGTAATTGGGGGGATGGGAACAGTGCTGGGGAATTAGGGGAAGGGGAACAGACAAGTTGCTGTCGTTTTGTTCTTCAGTCTAGTTGTGGAGGACACTGCTTCACTGGCCCAAGTTGGCACCATCATTGCGCTCTTCCCTGGCGAGGCAGATCAGTCGCCGGCTTCTGGCCGGCCGCTCACTGCGGCTGCTGGGCCGCTCACGCTGGCTGCTGGCTACACACGGTAGCCCATGGCAACCCACTGCCACAGGGACTGCAGCCTACGCTGTCGCCAGTGACTCACGGCAGCCCAGCTCCAGGTTGAGCTGTTGTTCAGCATCTTAGCTGTAGAGGGCAGTGTCACTGGCCCTCATATGTGGGATCCGAACCGGGGCCCTCTGGCATCCCAAGCGAGTTCTTAACCATCGCGCCACTCGGCCGGCCCTTAGTGTCTAACTCTTATTTACACATAGGCTCCTACATAGCTGCTAATCATATAAATTCAAGACCAAAACTGCCAATGACTGTTATCATAAGTAGTTATTATATAATGTATTTTAAATACCTAAACATAATACATTTTGTACAAAATTCAATATGAACTGTATAAAATATAATATTCACTATTATCATTTTCAGGGAGCACTCACATTTCTACAACAACCCAATCCAGAGACAATTTTTCTAGATATGTTCCCATGTCTAAGGTGGTTTATATTTTAACAATCAACTATTTTAATGTATTTGTTCAACAGGGCTCAAACTAGTAGTAATAAGAGCTCAAATCAGAAACACCAAGCTTAACATTTTTAAAATAACTCTACAAATGTCCTAGAAAATGAAAACCAATTCGGAGTTATGTTGAAAAATTTTCAAATTAAATATGCTTTTTACAAAACACTAAGCATTTTCTAAGACCACTCATTTGAAAACATAAAGCAGTAGGGTATTTTCTCCCAAAACCAACCCACCCAGTATTTTAAAAATGTAAAGTAACAGTAATTACGGCCTCAAAAAATATCACATTTTCAAGGATGTTTAAGATGGAAGGTGGGGGGGAATTCTAAAGTTAATTAATTTTTAAAAATCTCATGATACCTTTAAGACCGTGTTTCAGACAATGTTCCATAACAACAAAGAACTGCTGCAAGGGGGGGTAGTCAGAATCCAAAGTGCGGCCAAAGCTTAGAGCAGATTCAATGAGTCCTTTGATACTGAGTTTAGCCATGTTTAACAAGTTTGCTCTCTCTACAGCTGTGGGGTCTTTTGTAGCTGAAAGCACAAGAAAGGAGTCCAACATCATTTGCAAGACATAACATTGAAAAATATACAAACACTTTCCTTCCCCTATAAAACCAACAGTGGTTTGTTTTTTCTTGGTCGACAAATTAGTCTTCCTAATTAACCTATACCCCTAGTTCACTTCCTTTTGTCTCTCACACATATACCACAGAACACTACTGTGCCCACTCTAGCCAAAGTTTATGAATTATTGTCAAGATCCTATAAATTGGCTAATCTCTGGTATTTATTTTACTTTTGTGGTACCTCTTCAGGGAGAATGAATTTTTTTTTAAATGACTTTCTGTAGAGATAAGTTTGGAGTAATAGACAACATGTTTAAGGGTCTCATGCAAAAGGTGGATAGCAGGAACCGTTCAAGGGCAAATTCCAAGGAAAAAAATGTTCAGAATAAACTGGCAATAAAAGAAAAGGTAGTTAAAATTCTAAGATTCCAGTATCATCCATAACCAACATGACAGGTAAATAACAACATACTGACATATAAGAGGATACAGGAAAAGCCATTCAATTTTCACTCATTTTATCCCTCTTTCTTTTTTCATTGCCAACTGTAGTTCTATACTGCATGACTCCTTTATTTTCACAGAGAAAATAAAGGCAGGGTCCTGTTTCACATCAAAATTCCCTGTCCTTTCACAGAGATGATTCAGTTGAATACCAAGTTAATAGATGCACTTTTTAAAAACTCATTTTAATTAATATTTTCAAGTCACAAAATTTTTTTTTCTTTCCCACAAATTTTATTATCAGATTACTTAGAAATTCAGATGTTTCCCCATGCTCTCATCACTGTTGTGTGAGGCAGGAATATTCTCACAAACACAGATGACAAAATGAAGTGCAGAAAAATGAAGCACTGAGAAAACCGTTTCATAATCTCTGACAAATTTACAAGTCCAAGTAAACCATGTGTCCGTTTTTCCTTCACTAAACACAAGTCCAGGGTTCCCAATGATGTAGTCTTCTAGTTCTGATCTCAAACGGCTAGGCCTGACACTGAATCCTAAGCAACTCAAATGCAAACTGCCATGCCTGCTATGACCAAGCTAGCAGGTGGGAAATCTCCACACTTCATTTCTTCAAATCTGGATAGCGTATGACGCCCTCTCTTTTCGGGGTCGCAACCACTTGATGTTTCATAATCTATGGCAATTCTCTGTTTCTTAACAGAGCCCATCACAATCCGTAACGTACGGTGCGACAATCGGACAAAGGGCGCCTCTGAAGCTGCTACGAAGCAGGTCCTTGCTAGGTGACAGCAGCTTCCTCGCAGACGAGCGTTTACAGCTCGGCCGCACCCCGCCCGGGCTCACGGATGCGTCCTGCCGGGTCACGGCCTCCAGACCGTACCAAGGGCCCCCGCAGTCCCCGCATCTTGCCCGAGCCTAGAGCCCTTTCCCTGCCTCCCTTCCTCCGCTCAGCAAGGCTGCCCAAAGGGCTCGGGGAGCCCCCCGGGACCCTCGCGGAGGGCTCACCCGAGGTCCTGCGCGGCATCGCTACACCTCTCCCACCCTCGGCGTCGGGGACCCAGGCCAGAACCTGAGACGCGTCTGCCCTCCGCCACCCCCAAACCAGAAAAGTCATCTCCCGTCCCCGACTGTTCCCACGACCCGGGAGCTGCACCCCGGCCGGCCCTGTCCTGGCTCCCTGGTAGCCGTCGGACCAAAAGCTCTGGGTCAGTAGACCCCAGAACAGGGGCTCAAGCAGGAGGGAACTGGGGGCGGCCTCGCGTTGCCATGGCGACCCCGGGCGACCCTGAGTCCCCGGCTGCCCCAGCCCAGCCCCAGGCCCAGATCCCGACCGGGAGGCCTGGGTGCCCACCACTACCACCACTCTTCGTCCAGCCGCGGCCTTCAGCCCAGGACGCAGGGCCCAGCGTCCCTCTCGGCCTGCTCCCCTTACCCATGGCGGCGGCGGCGCGGTCTCGGGCGGAGACTCCCTGGGCCCCGCCAGCAGCTCCCTTCAGGCGCACGGCGGCCACCACCGCGTCTGCGACCAGGCCCGCTGCGGCCCACAGCGCTCCCGGCGGCGGGAGGACGCCTGGGCAGTCCCGCGGCGCCGCGGGTGGGGTGGAGGACCACGGAGCCTGCAGCCGAGAGGATAGAAACCCGCCTTCGCTTAGCTTCTCGGAGTCCTTTCCGGAAGGAGAAAGAGAAGGAGCGTGAAGGAGACCTCGAGTGTGAGGAGCTGGAGGAGGGACCCCGGTCAGACCACTGGCCGCGCACCCTCCGGGCTTCGCAGGAGTGCTAAGGCTGCAATTCCAAGGGAAAGCGAGCCACGTGCAAACGTTTTCATCCACAGGGTCCGGGTGGGTTTAATCTAACATACCTCACCACTTCCCTTCCATGTGCACAAACTCGTAGGGAATCAAAAGAATTTAGAAAATCTGAAGCAATTAACAGGCAGCAATCTACTGAAACTAGCCCAAATCACAAAGTTTAAATCAGTACCTATACTGGTTTACCAAAAGCAATGAGGGAAGATCTCATAATCAAGGGAAACAGATGTGGAGATAAGGCTAGTGTTTTCCATTTCAAGGAGAAAAAAAAAAAACCTCATGGTTAGATGACTAGGTTTAAGTTATATATCATTTTGGGGAAAGTGAGCTATTACCTAGTTATATCAGCAATTGTTAAGGCAGTGACTAAGCTAGAAATAGACGGAGATATTTCGTGAAAATGGAGCAATGTTCTGTTCATCACTTCCGCCATTATAAAGACCTATTATGTTTCTTTACTTCTTTTGGTTTTTAATTTTCTTTATTGTGAGATAATCATACATGGATAAAACATAGTATACA